TCCTTGTTTATTAAGTATATGGCAGCCTCACTTCTGTCAGTCTGCCCCAGGGCAGCTGTGGCTACAACCGTAGCTTGCCTTCACCAGTGTATGAATGTGAGAGTGAATGAATAGTGGTATTGTAAAGCGCTTTGAGGGGTCCCGAAAAGCGCTATATAAATGCAATCCATTATTATTATTATTATTATTATTATTATATTTCTACACAAAAATCACAAAATATCTTACCTGTCTTACCTGCGTTGGCTACAGTGTTTTGTTGCTTGCACTCTCCTCTGGTGATAGACACGTCGTCAATGGCAATATCCCCCTCAAAACCCGAGCCTCGAATTCCTTCAAACACAATCTGTTTAGAAAAGAAACATCAACAGATGAATGCTAGCTGAGTATGTCCAGAGAAATATATACAAAAACACAGCAAAAGTTCACCAAATGGCCACTGAGGAATTTTGCCGGAATGAAACTCTTACATTAATGAATAATAGACTAACTAATAATAACTGCTTTTTTCCTCACATTTGATATCTACGGTCATGCGAGAAAGTAAGTTTTTATACGTGTTTTTTGCAGTCCTCTCTGCTTTTGTGTACACTTTGTACACAATAGTTTGTACACTCCATGATGTTGCTTGCAAAACACCCTTTACTAAAAAATAAGTAGTTGCTTTCTGTATGTCTTTATCAGTGTCACGTATTGTTGTGGTGGAAGTGGAGGAATAGCCCGCTCGTCTTTACGGTGTAGCTTCAGTTTATTTAGGTTTTCAAGCATTGTTGATACACAGCTCTCTCAGCTCTCTTTAGGATCACTGTTCTTTGCATGACTCATTACGGGCCAGCCTTTAGCTGTTGGGATGAAGGGCCTCATATTTGATTCCAGAATGATTTGGCATACAGGGGTTATTTGTGTGGCTGTACAACACGCCCAAATCACCATCCCCATAGGTGTTAAGTGTTTGTGCTCATGTGCTGTGTTTGGTATTTGCCAAATGTGGTGTTATGCTAAAATATATCAACTTTGATCTCATTTCTCCAAAGGACACTGAATTAGAAGTCTTTTTAAAACCTAAACTATGTTCTTTTTAGAGAGTGAAGGCAACCCTCTTGGCAACCCTTCCAAATAAGCCATAATTGCTCTTCTTTTTCTAATTGTGTCATTAAACCTAGCTTTTCACACACTGAGATATCATTCTTTGGTTTTTGATAATTCTCTGAGCATTTCCAGGTTTGAAGTGAATTTCTTGGGATGTCCACACCTGGGAAGATCGTGAGATTGTGGTAATAC